CCTGAGCTGACGATAGTGCGCCTGAGCTGACGATAGTGCGCCTGAGCTGACGATAGTGCGCCTGAGCTGACGATAGTGCGCCTGAGCTGACGACAGTGCGCTTGAGCTGACGATAGTGCGTCTGAGCTGACGACAGTGCGCTTGCCATCGCTGAGTGCGCTGCTCATGGAACATCTCGCCCTAATCAAAAGGACGCGAAGGCTGAATTGGACTCCGGCCAGGAGACCGTCCTCTCCAGTCGCTGTCCCAAGAGGGGCGTCGCGAACTCCGTCAGTGACAGGCCGACCGTCGGGGAGGAAGGTTTTATTGCAACTCCTCTCTCAAGTCAGCCATCCTGTTACTCGTATTTCATATTACGAAATTTATCCTGGAAAGTCGCTTTAGGCAAAAAATTGTTAACATGTAACAAGGCAATAGGCAGGACGAACACGAGACTGTGGCAGTAAATACTCGTGTTCTTATCCCTGTTGCACGAGAGCCAAAACGCCGCAAGCTCGTTCCGGTCCTAAACATTTCGCGGACGGTTAAAAGTGACGTCAAACTCCGGGTCTGCCTATGGAGGAAATTGCTGGAGTGAGTAAATTATTTTGGAGGAACTTAAATTGCCTTGAATGATTATTCTCTCAAACCCCAATGAGAGTAATTATTATATCGTCACAATTACCTTGTATTTTCATTCTATCAATAAAACGAGGTATTTACGAGTATGTGGATCGGGTACATGATATTTTTTGATGTCGGGTAATCTTCTAGTACAAGTTGTAAGTAATAATATTGGTGAATAGCACCTGTGGCGTTACTTGATCGGCTATACTACTAATGAGCTTAACACCAGCAAGCGTTCATGTTTCTTGATTGACCTTGATGTGTATTGATAATTATCCATGCCAATTTCCATGAAATATTTTATATATTTGCAGATGCATCTACAATATTATTTAAAATGTATTGGTGCTATCTGAATCGTATATTAATTCCTTCGACCGAGACGAAACGCTCGAAAGTATCGCTCGTTCGATCATCCGCTTATATATGATTCTATTTCTCAGCTATTTGTGTGCACGCTTTATATTAATTTCAAAAGCAACATACAGGTATAAAAGTGAGACAATTTGTAATGATTTTATGCAGTGAGGTCCGCAGTTTAGCTGGTCCGCAGTTTAGCTGGTCCGCAGTTTAGCTGGTCAGCAGTTTAGCTGGTCCGTAGTTTAGCTGGTCCGCAGTTTAGCTGGTCCGCAGTTTAGCTGGTCCGCAGTTTAGCTGGTCCGCAGTTTAGCTGGTCCGCAGTTTAGCTGGTCCGCAGTTTAGCTGGTCCGCAGTTTAGCAGGTCAGCAGTTTAGCTGGTCCGCAGTTTAGCTGGTCCGCAGTTTAGCAGGTCAGCAGTTTAGCTGGTCCGCAGTTTAGCTGGTCAGCAGTTTAGCTTGTCCGTAGTTTAGCTGGTCCGCAGTTTAGCTAGTCCGCAGTTTAGTTGGTCCGCAGTTTAGCTGGTCCGCAGTTTAGCTGGTCAGCAGTTTAGCTGGTCAGCAGTTTAGCTGGTCCGCAGTTTAGCTGGTCCGCAGTTTAGCTGGTCAGCAGTTTAGCTTGTCCGTAGTTTAGCTGGTCCGCAGTTTAGCTTGTCCGCAGTTCAGTTGGCCAGGGAACAGGCCGTGTTTAAATCGCAC